ACAGGACAAACAACCATGCACACACATCTAGGGAGAATTTGGGAAGGCCAATTAACCTGACAGTCATGTTTTTGGACTGTGGGAGGAAGCCGGAGAACCTGGAGAGAACCCACGCACAGGGAGAACATGCAAACTCAGTGCAGAAAGACTTGAACCCAGGACCTTCTTGCTGCAAGGCAACAGCGCTACCCACTGTGCCACTGTGCAGCCCAAAAAGTATTCACACTACTGGAAATGTAACTCTTTAATTGATTTTACAAATAAATTATGATAAACAAAATTTTACTTTTTTGACATAAAAAAATGTTAAAAAGAAAAAAAGACAAAAAATGTTTTAATCTCGAAGTGAAAATAGAATTCTACAAAATATTGACAATAATGACGAAGTCTGTTTGAACAGGCAGGTCTCAATCAGACTTGCGGATCTGACATTGGAATTTTACTCCACTAACCCTAACTCTGACCATAGCCCTAATCCTTCCATTCAAAATTGTTCAAGCTCTCTCATGTTTCATGGGCATTAGCCGTGAACAGCACTTTTTAAGTCTTGCCACAAATTCTTGATTAGATAGATTCTGGGCTTTGACTCGACCACTCCAGAACATCCATCTTTTTTTTGTCCTTAAATTATTTCTATGTAGATTTAGGCATCTTGTAGGTAAAAAAATGTTCTGTATGATTTTTCTATATTTTGTTGCATTGATTTTATTTTCTGCTTTTCCTAGCCTTCTAGGGCCTGCTGCTAAAAAGGTGAAATGCTACTACCATAAAAATTCACATTGGGATAGTGTGTTTGTGATAATGTGCACTGTTTGGTGTGTGCCAAACAGTTTCTTCTCTGCCAAAAAGCTCCACTTTGGTCTCATTACACCAAATACCTTCCTTGCTTTTGGCGTCTTGAGTTTTGTTCAACAGAAGTTTCCTCATTGCCAGTTTCAAAAAAGTTTGACTAGTGAAAAAGGTGTTGGTTGCTGATCATCTTTCACCTCAGATGCTGGAACTTGCAAGTTCTTCAGGGTAGTCATGGTGACCTAGTACTCTCTCACTAGTGTCATTTTTGTATGGCTGTTCTCACTCAGTTTGTGAGGACGGCCTAATCTAGGCCAAATAAGAAAAATAAAAAAAACATGCTGGATTTATTCCATTTACTGATAGTGAATTTAACTGAAATCTAGGGGAGGTTCAGTTTTTTTGTATTCGTCCTCTTACTTGTATGTTTCAATAATCTTTTCTCTGACTTGCTTGGGGTATTGTTTAGTCTTCATGTTGTAATTGTAGCCAGAAACATTGATAACCCAGTGAATGGACCTTCCAGACACATGTGTGTCACTTCAGACACATTCACTGCACTCAGGTGATCTCCATTCCACTCATTGTGACACAACAAGCACCAGTTGGCTGGATCATTGTTGAATCTGGTCAGCCACTTTTAAGAGGGTGAATATTTATGCAATCATTTATCTGATGTTGCATGTTTTTATTTACCTGACATCATTAAATAAAAAAATAAAAATTACTTTGACATTAACATACTTTGATACTACATGAATGTACAGCCCATAAAATTGGACTCCCAGTTAAAAATCTTTTTTATTTGGTGTAATATTTAAATTGTCTCAGCAACTCACTGGTTGGTTGTCATTAACTGTGACCCTCATTTATATCTGACCATTTTACAAACCACAGCACACTTTACTTCCTGGTAGTGTTGGTGCTGAGGCTGACTCCTGAAAAAAGTTCATGTAGCCTTGTCCTGTTTGGTGATAACTGACACTAACTCTTTTAGTCAGGAGTGCAGCTTTGTGTGATCTAGCAGCGTATGCTAAGTGCTGCTGGAGCTAAAGGCTACTCTGTGGGCACCAAAGGCAGATAAAGCATACTGAAACACACTGACTTTCCTTATTGACCTGATTAGACAGGGTGTAAGATGACATGGATCATACACACTCATCCAACTGGAAATACAGTATTAAAAAAACAACACTCATACACATACATCAGGAGATTTTCCAGAGAAAGATATTCAGGTACTGCCTGGATGCATGGATAAAAAGAAGGACGCTGGAAGATGAAGACATTTGGAAGAAGTAACTTAATTTTGAATATGGGATGTTTCCTCCTGGGGTGCTTTTTCAGCTCTGCTGGACTGTAGTGGTGTAAAAATTGGCTGAGATGCAATGTAGCATTCACATCATGGTTTTATTAGCTCCCATTCAGCCCCAGGCATTTCACACTGCATTTCCTCTACTCATCTGCCGCTTTTCAGATCTGCTCTCATTACAGAGAAAGGTAACAGAAAGTGTGTTGAAACTGGGAACCCCAGCTCAGTCTCCTCTGAGTTAGACTGGTACTCTGTTTAGTTGATGCCATTGAAAGACATGCTTTTTTTTCATTACAGTAAATGTTATTGATTGATGTAGACACTTGTGTGCCTTCAGCAATGTGGAAACTTTCCCCTCTACACCCCACGAATGAGGTGAAATCAGATTACATTTATTTCAGGGTTATTTTATCCATTAATCGCTGGCACTTTAAATGCACATTGCCTGCAGGCATAGATTATGTTCAAATAAAGGCAGACACTGGAAGAGCGATTTAGGGCATCTCATGAAGCCTGTTAAGAGGTTTAGCAGAGAAAGTTAAGTTTAACCCTCATCTTAAATTGGTCAGTCTTTTTGATGTTAACTTAGGAAATATCTAAAAAGTAACAGGCAGAAATATGACAGTATATTTCCTGCTTCATCTTATACTTATCTTATTGTTAATGTTTGCTTTTGTATGTGACACCTGACATCATAATTGAATTTGTATATCAAGATAACTTCAAGACAATCTAAGAAACCAAGGGAGTCGGTTCAAAGCCTTTCAAGTCTTGCCCTCAAAACTCCTGGATTTCTTCTATGACTACTGTAAATTACACTGTAAGAGATACTGGAGGTTTTATTGCAAGTCATAATTCCTATAAAGTTCTGCATAAGCAGTGTACTCTACATAATGAGTTGAAATCATTGACAAAATGAAAATTTTCTTTATTTTTCTTTCAAGCTTAGCATACTACGAGTGGAGCAGTAAGACATTTCTTGTCGTTGCTCACCAGGGGTCTTGTGTAGAAGAATGTGTCATTTTGTAGGGACAAATTTTGAAAAGTGCAACACACAAAAAAAAAATTCTGATGTGTGAAGCAATGTGCACACATTTGGCTGCAGAACTTTCATTAATACATCCCAAATTCAATGAAATGGACTGAGAGAAAGTGCAAAAATTCATCCTCTACAATAATCTTGTCCTCCACAGTTTTATATATGCATGGTTTTAAACGCGCTCTTGAAAACGCTGGAGATCCTTAAAGAGTGCGCTACTGTCACGTCTGCCATTGCCGTCAATCAATCAATCAATTAATAAATCAAAGGTCCAAAAAGTGTCAGTGTTGTATTTTTATTTATTTTGTGTCTATATGAAATATATAGGAATACATGTGGTTCAGTTTTCTTATATAAGTTTTCTTGGATAAGTTTAAACAACAAAGTATTTTCCAAACAGAATGTTGAGCTAAAAGACACTGCATGAAGTCAGATTTTAGGGTATTTAGGTGAGTTTTGGTGCTGAGCTTACTATTGGCCACTGAAACAGTTTGCATGGCTTCACAGCAGGTAAAAACATTTTTTGTGCATACACACGCTTTGTACATGAGACCGCAGGTTTGCAAATACCTCAGCAGATTTTTGATGACTCTTTTGTATTTGAACTTTACATGTTGTAGATTTAGACTTGGTTACCTTGTCCTTATTGATACTGGAAATTGCTGTATTTTTGGAACTTTTAATTGACACATGAATCCAGACAGAAAAAAAATAACATATTTTTATGGTGAAAAATAGTTTGTAAATAAATATATCTAAATTAAAATCTGAAAATATTTTTCGGAACACCTCAAAGACTCAAATGGACATCTCTGCAGAACTCTTGGACAAAAACAAAGGTGAAGTTACTTAGCAAACAATATTAGTTGGGTTCTTTTAATTCATGTAGCTTTTGCAGTTGTAACCTTTAAATAACTATAAAGGAATCTTGTTTCCTGTTAGCACAGCTTGAAATAGTTTTCCAAATACTTATATCTTCCACACATTATTTTAGTTCAAACAATCACAAACTTAATTGATCTTGCCACTATTTTCATACAATAAAAATATTAAATTATTTTTTTTGTATGAAAAAGTATTTTCATACAAAAAAATATGTCTTAAGTAAAGGTATGAAAATAGCTATACATTACACAAATTATGTCTGAATTTTGTTACTAATTAAAACATTTTCTTTAATATGAAGGAGCTTGTGAAATCCTAACTGCTTTATTGGCCTGAAAATAATGCTGAAAAAGCAATGTTGTGTTTTTCTTTTTTTTCTTATAATAACAAATTTGCTTTCCTAGCACTACAAAAAAACTTATGTATGTTGTGAGACTGTATTTCCAGACAAAATGAAATTCTTCTGAACTAGTGGGACATAACCTTCCATCCAGTTTTCTCTAGCTCTGACACCAAACAAGCCTCTCCAGACCAATTACCTTATTTTCTAAAAGGCAACTCTCTGGAGTGTTACAGTCTGAGGCAATAGCCTATGCAACAGGTTTTGTTGTAAAAACACTTAGGATTGATTAAAGAATAATAAAACCGTTTTGTTTTTTTATGTTGGATGTACCTCATTATTTGACAGACACTTACTATAATGAGATTTCCATTCAGATGGCATGTAGACAATCATTGTTAGCTCAAAAATTATTAAAATGTTCTGATAGATTTTTCCTCAAGGAAATTTTGTTAATTTCTGGGGGTTTTTTTTGTTTTGTTTTTTTGTATTTTCTTCCATAATTTCCAGAGTTTATCAAATGCGCTGAAGAACACAAATCATATTAATACAGAATTTACATTTAACGTCACTGTCACTTTTCAGGACAAAAGTACTGATTTCATTCTTCCCATTTGCCTTTCTGTGTTCTGTAGGGTATGATGGGTGTAGTGGGCTGGACCTTGGTCCTACTCTTCTCAGTCACGATGCCTGTGACATCCCAAAAGCCTCCAAAACTCAAGGTGGGTGTGATTCTAGGCCAGACACGCCCCGTAGCTGACCAGAACCTTCAGCCTCCTCAACGCCCTGATGATCCACTTGAAACCTCTGTGCTCATCCTGAAGATCAACCAAACAGACCCAAAGTCTGTAATCATTGAGGTAAGAACAGTTTACATTCTTAGGTATTTTAAGGAATTACACATATGACAACAAAACTTCTGACACCCTTTGGCAACAAAATAATCTTTTAAACTTCAAACTAACAAAAATTCAGTGTGGTCCCCTTCTGTTGTTCTGTGGTTATCAAAAATTAGGCCTGGTACTAGGACACGTTGGCAAGTGCCTGGTGGCGGGGGTTTTACCCCTTGGAGCTTGGCCAGGCTGAGCCTGAAGAGGAGACATGGGGCCCCCTTCCAATGGGCTCACCACCTATGGGAGGGGCGAAAGGGGTTGGGTGCTGTGTGGGATGGGTGGTGGCTGGGGAGGGGACCCTGGCGAACCGATTCTTGGTTGCAGAAGCTGCTTCTGGGATGTAGAATGTCACCTCTCAGGTGGGGAAGGAGCCTGATCTATTGTGTGATGTTGAGTGGTTCCGGCTAGAAATAGTCAGTCTCACCTCAATGCATGGCTCTGGTTCTGGAACTAGTCTCCTTGAGAGGGGCTCGACATACTTCCACTCTGGAGTTTGGTTAGAGGTGGCAGGCAGGAGTGGGCATACTTGTTGCCCCACTTCTTGGTGCCTGTATGTTGACAGTCTTCCTTCGCCTACAAGTGTGGAGACGTATTCTGACTGTTGTTTGTGCTTACACCCCAAACAACAGTTCAGATTACCCACCCTTTTTTGGGGTCTTTGGAGGGTGTACTGGAGAGTGCCTCTCCTGGGGACTCCCTTGTCCTGCTGGGGGACTTCAATGCTTACGTTGGCAATGACAGTGAGACCTGGAGGGGCGTGGTTGAGAGGAACGGCTCCCCTGATCTTAACTCGAGTGATGGTCGGTTTTTGGACTTCTGTGTTCTGCAGGTACACATGGTGTCACGATGCCTGTGACATCCCAAAAGCCTCCAAAACTCAAGGTGGGTGTGATTCTAGGCCAGACACGCCCCGTAGCTGACCAGAACCTTCAGCCTCCTCAACGCCCTGATGATCCATTGGCAACAAATGCAGGTACACATGGTGTACCTGCAGTCCAAACTCGGGTGGCTGCTAAGGCAAAATATCAGGTGTGGGAGGAGTTTGGGTGGCAATGGGAAAAAAAAGACTTCAGCACGGCATCAAGGCAATTCTGGTCCACCATCTGGTGTCTCAGGAGGGGGAAGTGGTTAAGCACCAACATTGTTTATAGTGGGGATGGTGTGATGTGCTGCCGACCTTGTGGGGTGGTGGGCAGAATACTTTGAAGACCTTCTCAATCCCACTAACATGCCTTCCATTGAGGAAAATGAGCCTGGGGACTCTGAGTCGGGTTCTCCAATCTCTGGGGCAAGGTTGCCAAGGTGGTTAAAGTGGTCTTATGTGGGCCCCGGAGGTGGACGAGATTCGCCTGATGTTCCTTAAAGCTCTGGATGTTGTAGGTTTGTGTTGATTGACACGACTCCTCAATACTGCATGGACATCCAGGGCAGTTCCACTGGATTGGCAGACTGGATTGGGTGGAGGTCATCCTGTTCAAAAAGGGGGACCAGAGTGTTTGCTTCAATTACAGAGGGATCACACTCATAAGCCTCCTTGGTCAGGTCTATTTAGAGGTCCTGCAGAGAAGTGTCCGTTGGATAGTTGAACCTTGGATTAAGTTGAACCTTGGATTAAGGAAGAGCCTCCTTGGTCAGGTCTAAGGACCTGACCAAGGAGGTCAACCAAAATCTGTTAACAAAAACTAATAAACTTGGTGTTTTCTCCTGACAGAAGAGAAGCCATAAAAATCATAAAAATAATATAAATCATATACAAACTGTTTACCCTATTAACCAGAAAACAGAGACAACAGCAACGTTCCAGGAGAGGTGAAAAATGTTGATTATTATAAAATAGCATAAAAGTAATTATATGTTGACAGCCTCCCATGCTCCTTAGAGGGAGCATGAGAGTTTTCCCAATTGGTCTACATGTGTTTTGTGGACTTGGAATAAACTTTCAACTGTGTCCCTTGGGGAACCCTATGTGGGGGTCCTCTAGGTGTATGGGGTACCAGGTCCTTTGATACGGGCTGTTAGATTTCTGTATAACTGGTGTCAGAGCCTGGTTTGCATTACTGGCAGTAAGTTGGGCTTGTTTCCAGTGAGAGTTGGACTCCACTAAGGCTGCCCATTGTCAACCAAATCTGTTAATTAATTTCATGAACAGAGTTTCTAAGTACTGCTAAGATGTGGAGGTGATCAATTTTGGTGGCCTTAGGATCACAGCACTGCTTTTTGCAGATGATGTGGTGCTATTGATTTCATCAGGTCATGATCTACAGCTCTGGCTGGAGTGGTTTGTAGGTGAGTGTGAAGCTGCTGGGATGGTATTGAGCCGGAAAAGGGTAGAGTGCCTTCTTCCAGTCGGGAGGGATGTCTCATCCCAAGTGGAGGAGTTTAAGTATCTTGGGAACTTGTTCACAAATTGGGAAAAAGGGAACAGGAGTTTGACTGACGGATAGGTGCAGCATCTGCAGTGAAGTTGGAGAAAGGGAAGTCTGGGACAGGGTTCTTTGGCTGTTACCCCCGCGACCCGACTCAAGACAAGGAGAAGATGGAAGGCCGCATGGATGGATGGAAGGCCGCATGGATGGATGGAAGGCCGCATGGATGGATGGAAGGCCGCATGGATGGATGGATGGATGGATGGATGGATGGATGGATGGATGGATGGATGGATGGATGGATGGATGGATGGATGGATGGATGGATGGATGGATGGATGGATGGATGGATGGATTGAAGATGTATTGTGAAGTCCTGGCATGTGCGTAAACTCTTTTGGTTTATTCACTCTGTCTCAGGTTTGTGGGCTTGTGTCTCGCGAAGGTCTCCATGGCCTTGTGTTTGCTGATGGCACCGATCAGGAGGCCATCGCCCAGATCCTAGACTTCCTGTCTGTTCAGACACAGCTTCCAGTTTTGGGTGTTCATGGAGGCTCCTCTATGATAATGGCTGATAAGGTGAGTCACCTACAAAAAAATACCTTAACCTTTTTTGTGTTCAAAAAGTTTGGCATTTGGAATAACACGCAGTTGTGATGTATGACATAGAGACAGAGGCAGGCAGGCAGGGAGACAGACAGACAGACAGACAGACAGACAGACAGACAGACAGACAGACAGACAGACAGACAGACAGACAGACAGACAGACAGACAGACAGACAGACAGATAGATAGATAGATAGATAGATAGATAGATAGATCGATCTGTGGACCACCATATCAAACAATACATCAATACTTGAATGAAAATGAAATTAAATGAAAGATGGTTTTTGTTTTGCATTGTGATGGTTTTTGTCAAACCAAAAATAGTTTTGTGACATGATCATCGAAAACAGGATATGAACACTGTACTTATAATTTTTCTGTGACTTTAGGAAGTTAATGGGTTGTAAAGTAAAGACCTATTTATGGAATATGCCAGGTGAGTGTTTGGAAATGTATTGGGACCATAGACAGAAGATATGAGCACTTGTGCTGTAAAGATCCTCTTTACTGGGCTTTTTCTATCAAACATGGTGCTAATTATTTTTTGTCTCTGATTTATTGAAATATTGATGTTGATGAGATTTTTTTTTTACAAAATTACAAGCTTTTTCAAGCTGTATAGTTCTATTATTGAAAATGAGGAGCTAATGTTCGCGAAAATAACATTGAAATAAAATCCAGTTTAACGTGTGGTTTGAGGTGAATCCTCTGAATCTTGCTGAAGGAAAAATATTCCGACTTCAAAAGATGTGCTTTTAACTTAACACTGCAGTAGTCCTATACCCTGGTCCTCAGGGACCGCTGTCTTGCACGCTTTTGATGAGTCCAGACGACAGCATAGCTGGTTCATATGATTCTATTACCTCCTTTGCATTCCTGCAATTCCTGTAGTAGCTGCTTAATCACCTGTTCATTTAATCCAGATGTAAAGCAGCAGGGAAACACCTAAAATATGCAGGGCAGTGGGCCCTGAGGAACAGGGTTGGGGATCACTTCTCTATGGATTCTCCTACCAGTCTGTACTTTCTCACATTTAGATCATCAAACCAAATTTTAGATCTACCATAACTGATTGACACCTGCTGGTTTGCAACCAGCTTCTTACTATGACCAATTTTTATGCATGTGGTAGATGACAGCCAGCTGGTGAGAGAAAAAGTAACTCTTAGCCTCAAAACGTTTGGCCTGGCTTAAGGGAGGATACCACTTATAGCTAATGGGAGAGCATAAAACACATTTTATGTCAAAACGAGTAGAGCAGGGAATCAATAGTCAGACTATTAAGTAACTACAGGAGTCATTTGTGATCACTATTTACTTATTTATTTATTTTATTTTATTATGCTTCATGTGTCTCTTGATTTTCCATTGGGGATACATATTTTTTTTATTGAATTTGAAATAAATTGAATTAAAAATTATAAGGAAAGAACAAATTATCTTTTACAGACAATTAGCTGTAGCAACATTGTTTTTGTGTTTTATTATTTTGATAAAAATGTTGAGATAAGATGTTTGACGACAGATGGTATGTCAGCATCAAAATGTCCCTTACAAATAACCAGTGTTGGGACTTTTTAGGCCAAACCACATTTTTCTTGAGATAAGGTTATATCTATATTTTACCATCATGGAGAAAACAAAAACTGTTATGTTAAAAAAAAGCATGATCACTGGCTAATATAAGTGTCTAACATATTTATGTGTTTTATATATATTGAAGCCACTTATGTAAAGTATTCTTTGTGATGACAGCAGTGAATGACCATCAATCAGAGTTACATTGCTGGTCAGAACTGGAGCAAGATGCAGATAGAAAAAAATATGACTATGATGAGGTACAAGCCTGAACACAATCAAAAAGGAAAAGATTAAACTGTCTTTTTTTGCTTAACTCTTTTTAAATGTTTCTACGATGAATAAGTAGCCAGATGGATGTAAAGTAAGCAAATGGATTCTGTAGACAATAAATCCACACACTGGAGTGTCTTTGTAGAGTCAGGGGAAGATGTTTTATAGAACACACAGCATTCTCAAGTGTATAACTTTTATTTTAGCAGACAATCATGTGTTGTTAAAAAGCTTTTTATGTCGCAACTAAAGCTGAGCAATGCAAGACCAAACCAGGAGGTGGATTTAGCTGTATTATGTCATTGCTTAGCTGGTCACCAGATAGATTTCTTTGTTTTAATAAAAGCAAATAAAGATGTACTTTATTATTGGGGCTTTATTTTAGTCGATACTCAGCACAGAGTTAAGGGTGCACATATCTCTCTCTTATTTGAATTTTCCCCATGGCACTGACTGTAGAGCTTGCTGACTGACAGACAAACTGAAGAAGCTTTGATAGAAACACAACTGGTTGTTTAGCTTTTAAATCTCTCAGGGCACAAAAGACAAAACACAGGAACCAATGACTGTTGCAATACAGCAAGCAGTCTTTTGAAGTTGAAACTGACTGGGGATCGGGCAGTGTGTGTGCGTGTGTGTGTATTTTGTGAGAAAAGATAAAAAGCAAAACAGAAAGTGGGGGAGAGAGGTGGGAGTGAGTTTGAAGGTTTGGAGACCTCAGTGGCAACTTGAAGGTCAGTGGCTTAAACTTCCTACTGAGAACAATGTCAAAAAAACTAAATAAAAGATCTCTGTCTTGTCCTTAATCTGTGCTGTCAGTATGTCATTAAACAAGGTACTTAACCCCCTACTGCTCTAATTGAACTGCTCCGTGGCCAAAAGTACAAGCATATGGTCTTTTTTTGGCAGCTTGCAGTTGAGAGGCGCCACTGTTTGTGGCCGGTAACTAACCAGCCTGCACAAAGGTTCCTGTGGGCGCTGTCCTGGAAATAAAAGCATGTTTTATGTCTGGTTTAAAGTAAGGGCCAACTTACTAAAATCAGCCAACTACCAGAGAGGTGATGAGTCACAGTTAGAGAATAAATCATCAAATAGACATTATAAGCTTTTCTCTTGGTTCCATAGGAGATTCACTTAAAGAGAAAAATGTGTGAGGGGATAATGACCATCTGGTCTTTAACTGGATTTAAGTGGAAAATATATAGTGGTGTCATGGTTATGACGTATGGTAAGTTTTTTATTTTATTTTATTTTTTTAAGAAAGACATCAACTTTTTGAATACAGCAGTAGTTTATGTTTTTCTGTTCTCAAACAGTATTAAAAGGAATCCCAGGAGCTCATTATCTTGTGAATAGAGAAACCCTCGAATCTCCTCTCCCAGCTAGGTTTAGCTGTAACAAAAATTTTTAAATGGAAAAATTTGTCTGATTTCTGATTGTGATTTTTTATTAAGTTAAATACACCTTTAATCAGAAACAGTTGGGGAAGTTTTCTTGAAAAATTGCTGAAGAAATGAATCATTATTCAGAGCTGTGGCCTTTATTTTTCTGCAAATTGTTTGATTAAAACATTGAATAAACTCATTAGATGTAATAACGTATCACAGTCTCTGTGCCAAACACAAGCTCAGTTACAGAGGCTGTGAGGGTTTTCAGTCAGGTTGCCACATGTGTCGTGTTTGACACTCAAACTGTGATGGCGACAGCATCACAATGAACAATGTCTCAGCGCTTTTCAGCAGCTCTATTAGCTCTATTAGCAGCCCTACTAATTTCACAGCATCAAACACATTTAGGCATTAGTGTTGTGAAAACTTACACAACATAACAGCCTCACACCAACAAAAATAATTTGCTCTGAAGATAAAATGCTTCAATATATTATGTCTCGGCTGCATAAATGTTGCTTTTATACCTGCTTTCTGCTCTGATAAGATCAGTAGTATGAGGAGACAGAACTTCAGTAATTTGCTTTTATTATTGTGGACTAACAAAAAATCAAGACATTGTTAGGAGCCTGATACTCTCCACAGCCATATTCAATTAAGATTCTTTCAAATGAATTTTATACTTAAGCAGCATCAATTCATTCTCTTCCCAAGGTACATTTAGCATTTGAGCTGAGTTTAGTAATTTTCTAGACAGGTTTCTTCACAGAGAGCACAATATCTGCAATGAAAAATGATGCTGCCCAGAAAGTAGATTTACGATTCAGTTTAAGATTCAAGCAAGCGGCTCAGTGCTCTAAAATAATGGACATACAGCACACGGAGGCGGGCAGAACAAGTGTGAAATACTTGGTGTTAAAGCAGCGTTAAGCTGCCAAAGTGCAAACTTAACTGTCATGATTATGACATATTTCAAGGAAAGGCTTTCTCCAGTTGTCATTTTTATCAGCCATTCAGCAAGCCTTAGACTCATCACTGTGAATCACATAAACAGAAACAGACACTGCTGGTTCCCCCTGAAAACTGATAAATACTGTGGAGAAAGAACATTACTCAAGAAAGCTTTTATTTAAAAAACATATTTGTAATAAAAGAAGTAAGCTCCTTTAAATTCTTTTTTTTGTTTAGTCTTATGTTTTTATGCAGAATTTGAACAAATTTAGTTAGAAATGCATATCAGTATTTTTTTATTTGTTTTGTTATTGTAGTTTTACACAGGATAAGCTACCTCACCTAACGTAACAATAACTTTGGTTATACTTTATTATGTTTATGCTAGGGGTGAGTGATACAGCCACAAAACTGATATGTTCATGATATATTTCTGTGATAGCTTAAACATGATATGTCATATTCCTGCTCCAAGTTCCTGCCTTTTCTTTTATTCTCTTTATATATATATATATATATATATATATATATATATATATATATATATATATATATATATATATATATATATATATATATATATATATATATATACATCAGCAACCTGAAAAGGGTCAGTTGTTGCTTCATTTTCATTGCTTTACCAATAAGGCTGTTTCATAATTTTCTCAAAGAAATATCTGATTCAGGATACAGTAATAAGCACCTTCAATTCTGACTTCCACTGATTTGTTTAAATGTTTATGAGTTAGAAGACATGACTAGCTCCAGCTAGCTA